GGTGGATGTTAGCTGGATGTCAGCAGTGCGGTGTGCCCGGCCGGCGTGGATCAGTGGTTGAGCGTCGGTGTGGATCAGTGGTTGAGCGTCGTCCTATGAACCAGGAGATCACGGTTCGATTTCCGGTCAGGGCACATGCCCGCGTTGCAGGCTCGATCCCCCGTGTGGGGCGTGCAGGAGGCAGCTGATCAATGATTCTCTTTCATCATTCATGTTTCTAGCTCTCTCTCCCTCTCCTTTCCTCTCTGAAATCAATTAAAAAATATATTTTTTTAATTAAAAAAAAGAAGTGCAGTGCAAGCTGTGGCCTGCTTGTTAAGCCCAGGCCGTGCTTAATACATATGTGCTGACAGGCCACTGGCGATGGGGAGGTAGTGTTTCCCAGTGGAAAGTAGGGCTTCTGGGACCCCAGAAATCCGGTTTCTGCCTCTAAGAGTCATTCAGGGTCACCGTCCTTGACTGGGACGCTTGGGGCAGGGAACACTCTGTTGAACACTCCTGGTGCTCCCTGCTCTGTGGGACTGGGAGGTGCATTGTGGGCCTTCACTTTTATGTATGTATTTATTTAATATATTTTTATGGATTTCAGAGAGGAAGGGAGAGGGAGAAAGAGATAGAAACATCAATGATGAGAGAGAATCATTGATCGGCTGCCTCCTGCACGCCCCCTACCGGGGATCCAGCCCACAGCCTTGACCGGAATGGAACCCGGGACCCTTCAGTCCGCAAGCCGATGCTTTATCCACTGTGCCACACCAGCTAGGGCTGGGCCTTTACTTTTAGAGTCCTTAGGGCTAGGTGGTGGTGTGAAAAGCCCCATTTTCCAGGAGTGGAGACTGAGGCTCAGCGAGGGCACACCCCTTGTGTGAAGTCACACAGCTAGACACCCCTGGGGCCGAGCGAGCGCCTAACTCCCAGGTGGATGGGTAAGAGCGTCCCAGGGTAATAGTGTGAGTGCCTTTGTGGGCCCCGCCTTGGGCCGGCTGGTTTTTATTCATTATCTCCCTTAATCCCTGCAGTCTCTGTAATGAAGTGGGGAGTGTCACCCCCGGTTTCTCAAGGAGGAAACCGAGACTGGGGAGAGTCTCGGGCTGAGAAGAGGTGGAGGCGGGAGTTGGACCCCCTCGGGGCTGCCTTCAGGGCCCCCCCGGTGCTGGGACAGCCACTCCAGACCCGTCCGGACAGCTTTCCCCTCCTGCTCTCTGGGTGCAGCAGCCTCTGCCCTTTGGCCCTGGCCTTGGCAGCCGGCTCAGGTTCCTGTTGAGGTGTCACCCAGGCGACAAGGTGTGGTTGGCAGGATGGGGCTGGGGTGGGAGGGTGGCGTGGGGAGTGGGTTCCTCCGCCAGCCAGGAGTGGGGGCCGGGGCGCCAGCAGCCATGAGATACCCTCCCAGGGAATGTGGTCCGGCTGCCCCGCCCTCGGAGAGCCCGGAGCTCCCCAGCACCCAGCAAACCGGTTGCTCTGCTCCCGGCTGGCCACCCACCCTCCGCCCGTGAAAAGCCTGGCACCTGGGAGCCGGGCAGCTTGCGGTGGCCACACCCTGTGCTGCTGGAGCAGCACAAGCTGTCAGGGAGTTGAAAGCAGCCCTGTTACTCACCAACTAAGTAACCGGCCAGCCAGCTAACTAGCTGCCTAGCTGGCTGAGTGGCTAACTGGTTTAGTAGTTAACTAGCTAAGCCACTAAGCAGCTAATTTTCTGGCTAGCTCAGCTAGTTAGCTCTCTGGGTTGGTGTAGCCAGGTAACTAGCTAGCTCTCTCGTTGTCTAACTACCTCTATCCGTCCTGAGTGCCTGTTGTCTACCCGGTGCCCGGAGTGAGCTGGAGCAGTTCTCAAACCGCCCCAGGGTCCTGAATCCAGGCCCAATGGGTGTGTGCACGAATTCAGGAAATCTGTGAACATGAATGAAAAAAAAATTAAAAAAGGTTACATCTTAATTTCCACGCACCTGGATCCAGAATTATAGCATTTCCTCCAATAAGAGTGAACCCCAAGTTTGAGTATAATAGACAATCTACACTATACCTGTTTTAGGCAGCAACATACTTATTATTTTTTAAATTTTTTTTTATTGATTTCAGAGAGGAAGGGAGAGGGAGGGAGAGAAACATCAGTGATGAGAATCATTGATCGGCTGCTCCTGCACGCCCCATATTGGGGATCGAGTCTGCAACCCTGGCTTGTGCCCTGACTGGAAATTGAACCCTGACCTCCTGGTTCATAGGTCGATGCTTAACCACTGAGCCACGCTGGCCAGGCTAGGCAGCAACATACTGAGAGGTCACGTTTTTATGTTCACATTATAAATTTGCATTTAATCATAGGTAACGCTTATTTGGTTATATAATCTAATTCGTGTAAGCAAGACCCATGAGTCTGTATTAATAGAAACCACAGAATACGTTTCAGTCGCGGCTAAGATTGTGATCACCCTTTCCCAGATATGTGTGTATTCATGCACATACACAAAAACATCCTGCTTTCACTCCCACCCCCCCAGCCCCCCACCCGCCGTGCCCGTGCCCGTGCCATGCTAACACTCCCGCCTGCTTTCCTGTCCCTTGATAATGTTTCCGAGATCACTCCATCCCCATTCGCCGAGAGCGTCATAGAACCTTGTACGGACACGTATCCAGGTTATTGCCGTGTGAAGAATGCTGCGGCAGAGGAGTTTGCACGGGGCCCTTTCAGGCGTGTGAGTCCAGGCAGCGACAGGCTGTGACCCACGACTGGCCGGCTGCAAAGTCCACCTTCTCTCTCAGGGCGAATCCTTGCCCATGCAGCCCCTCGGTGCAATTTGGAAAGATTCTTTCCCACCGGCAGCATGATGATGTTTGTAACATGTTCAAAGCTGACATTGCCCGGCGGGTGTGGCTCGGTAGTTGAGCATCAGCTCATGCACCCAGAGGTCACTGGTTCGATTCCCCGTCAGGGCACATGCCAGGGTGGTGGGCTCGGCCCCCAGTCAGGGGCGTGCAGGAGGCAGCCCATCAGTGATTCTCTCTCATCATTGATGTTTCTCTCTCTCTTTCTCCCTCCTCTCTGTAAAAAATCAGTTAAATATATTTTTTTAAAAAATTGACATTGTCACTGTGAATGGCAGCCCCTTTGACGGATGTCGTGCAGTGTGCAGCCCGCCCACCCAGCTCGGCCCGCACTGCCCCCCGGGCCGGGCGGCGGGCAGGAGCTGAGTCTTCCTTCTCGTCCGCTGCAGACGTACTCGGGCCTGTTCTGTGTGGTCATCAACCCGTACAAGCAGCTCCCCATCTACACGGAGGCGATTGTTGAGATGTACCGGGGCAAGAAGCGCCATGAAGTGCCGCCCCACGTGTACGCGGTGACCGAGGGGGCCTACCGCAGCATGCTCCAGGGTGAGTGCAGGCCGTGCGGGATCTCAGACTCTGCGGCTTCTTGTGGGGCAGGAGACACAGCGGGGGGCGGGCCCTGAGTCCCGCCGACAGGCCCCTTTTTCATCGGCCTCCGTGGCCACCCCTTCCCTCAACAAGCACCGTTTGGGAGTCACGTGGGCCAGGGTTCTGCCCAAATGTCTCTTGAGACAGTGATTCTCAGAGCGCTCATCCGCTCACCGTCTCTGTTGCTGGTGGGATCTGCATGGACATGGGTGGGTAGCAGCCCCTTACGTGATGGGCAGATGGGGTTGCTGGACCGCTGGACAGGTTGTGCACTGCACGGAGGTGTCTGTTAAAGGGGCCGCCGTTCGTGCCACGACAGTGTGAATCAGTCCTGGCAAAATTACACGGCCACACACAATGTGCTCATTACTTATTTACTGTACATCACCTATTTTATTTTATTTATTGTTAATCCCTACCCGAGGATACTTTTTCCATTGATTTTTGAGAGAGAGTGTGGAGGGGACGGAGGGAGGGAGAGAGAGAGAGAGAGAGAGAGAGAGAGACATTGATGTGAGAGAGGCACATTGATTGGTGCTTCCCATGCACCCTGACCAGGGCCAGGATCAAATCTGTAACCCAGATACAAGGCCTTATCCAGGAATCGAACCTACAACGCTTTGGTGCGTGGGTTGACGCTCTAACCATTGAGCAACACTGGCCAGCGCTATTGCCTACCAGTATTTTAATAAATATTTTGTATGTATTAAGATACATATTAAATATTTTAAAATGTATACCTTTCAATCATATGACATAGAAGAGTATGCAGCAGTATATGTGTATTGTATGTATTATACTTACATCATTTAATAAATGCTATGTCTCTAGGGTGTATTATAATGATATACTTATGTCATGGCACGCAGCGGCTCTCAGCGTGCCGTGCCCTCACCAGCAGCAGCAGCAGCACCTGCTGAGTCAGAAACTGGGGGGAGGCTCAGCAGACGGTGTTTAATGAGACCCCCAGGCTCCTTCTGCAGACCCTGAAGCAGGCGGCGGGTGTAATGGACGATCTAGAATGTGCCTGTTTCATGCAGTAGGACGTGTTTAGATGTCACGTTTTTATATTCACATTATACATTTATCCTTCACCCTTGGTGACACTTACTTGTTTCCATAGTCTAATTGGTTATACATTTATTTGTATAATTTTCAGCTCTTATTATATCCCACTTATTATTATACCTTAGGGATAAATGTACAATAAAGTAAGGGTGAGTGCCTACTATGCGCCAAGCACATTTCGTGGATTAGCACGTTTAACCTCATAGAAACCCCATGAAGCAGGTGAGCTCATCTCCCTGGCTTCCAGATGGGGAAACTGAGGCACAGTCCTTGCCCCCACTGGTGGCTGAGGTAGGATTTGAACCCAAGGTCCCCGACTCTAGCCTCCCTGGGGTCCAGGATCCCCTTCTCATGTCTTTGGATCTCACATGGCACAGGGTAGGGGCTCAAATTGATGTTTGATGAATGAATGACATGCTATTCAGTTGGAGTTTATTGTCTCCTCAGGTGAGAAAACTGAGGCTCAGAGAGGGACAGCTGCTTTTCCAGGAACACACAGAAAGCAAGAGTTGGGTGTAGTATTAGAATCCAGGGTGTCGCACATCAAAACCCAAGCCTTCCCTTATCCTCCAGGAATGATTTTGATTAGGGAGTGGCCAGCATAAGGGGCCGGGGTCCTGCAGGAGAGACCCTCCCAAGTGACATGCTCTCCTCTCTCCCCTACAGATCGTGAGGATCAGTCCATTCTCTGCACGTGAGTAGTCCTGAGGGCTTCCTGGTGGAGGTGGTCCCAGCTGGGTGTGGCTCTCCTTGGAGTGGAATCATTGCTGACCCCTCTTGCTTCCCCCTTTCCCCCCCACACAGTGGGGAGTCCGGAGCCGGGAAGACAGAAAACACCAAGAAGGTCATCCAGTACCTTGCCCACGTGGCATCATCACCAAAGGGCAGGAAGGAGCCAGGCGTACCGGTAAGTGACCTGCTCTAGAGCCTGCCACCTGCAGTGCCCCCTCCATCTCAGGCTTGGCTTCCCCCATAATTCCCTATCTTCCTCAGGGGGGCCATAGTTGTGGGTCTTCTCCTGGCTTCCCATGCTGCTGAGCACCTACTGTGTGCCTAATAGATTGCTGGGAGCCGTGGCAGGTGGAAAAGAAATGCAAGGGCCAGTTGTTGGCCTTTGGAACAGTATCAGGCACATAGTAGGTGCTTACATTCCTGAGCACCTACTATGTGTCAGGCCTACTTTAGATACCTGCAGTGCCCTTGCTGGCTTTATAAGCAGGCATTTATATAGCGCTTGTCCCTGTGCTCACATTAATTTAATGCTCCAGGGACGTGGGTGGGGTGTTGTTTCCCTGTGTCAAAATGAGAAACCGAAGAAAGGGCTGGAGGAGTCGCTTTCGGAGGTCACACACCCAGCAAGGGCTAGAGTGGATTCAGAGCCAGGCATGTGGTCCCCACAGGCCACCCGGCTCCACACGCCCAGTTTCCCCTTGTTGCTCTCCTGCCCTGCCCACTGTCTGAGACCACCAGCTCACTTGTGTGTCCACGTTTCATGTGCCGTGTCCTGATCCATGTCCCGGTCCGTGTCTCGTGTCCCGTGACTTCCTCAGGCCTCCACCGGCACCATGTCTTATGTGAGTAGCAGGGAATCACCTCGAATCCTAATGCCACCCAGGTCACCCCAAACTACAGTCTTCCTGACACACAGGGCCCAAGGCATTGATGGTTACACCTGCCAGGGAGTCACACTGCTGCTTATGGTAGTCCTACTAGGTGCACACCAGGCCCTGCACTGTCATTTAATGCAACCCTGCTATGTACACACAGCCCCCCGCTCCCACTGTGTACACACACCTAGGGCCCATGCTGTCATTTAATGTGGTCCTACTGTGTGTACAGACCCAGTCTGAATTGCTACTTATATTAGCTCTACGGTGTGTGCAGACTGGCCACAAATATCAACATGAAATAACTCAGAGACCAAAAATACCATTTATTGCTGATCTGCTAAATGTTTGTAGATAGGGCCCATAGACACCATGAATTCACACAACCCAGAGACACACACTGCCATGTACAGGCCTTCGGCTCAGGCTGGTCTCTGAGGGCTCTCAAGGAAATTAAAGAAATAGGCCATGCCCTAGAGAGCCTGGCTAGGAAGGAGGAAAAGAAAATTGCCTTTTATTGAGCACCTACTATGTTCCTGGCTCTGACACCAAGATGGCTATGGCGAAGTTCAGAGTCAGATCCCCCACCCACAGGGAAGGAAACTGCCATTTCTTGAATGCCTACAATGTGCCATTTGGAGGCACTTTATATACAGATGGTATAGATTTTTCCTCAATCATTTCACAAGTAATGCATGCGTACATATTCCCTGTAACAACAGCAAAATCAGATCAAGTGGAATTCCTTTCTTCCGCTCAGTGCCTCTTCCTTGGAGTGGCTTACACTGTTGACAGTTTGGTGTGTATCCTTGCAGACCTTTCTCTAAATGTTTATAAACATATATACATACCTGTAGAATCGGGAGTCTTGGGTGGGGTTTTTATTTTCTCTCAATTTATTTATTTATTCTTTTTTTTATTTTATTGATTTCAGAGAGGAAGGGAGAGGGATAGAGAGATAGAAACATCAATGATGAGAGAGAATCATTCATTGGC